TGTATGCTTTTTATTATTGCAGGTAACAGCATTAAAGATGCCTTTTGAATTTGTTCCTGCATCCCGAGTCTTGCACGTGGGTCCACATTCTGCTACACGCACAGCTTAGAATCATGTTTTAGGATTATAGAATCATATTAAGGCTTGTAAAATAATGCAACGTGGCTACAATTGTTAGCAGAAGCAGGAAAGCTGGCAAAGAATAGAGCTTGTCCTAAAAATCTTCTTTTTTCACGACTGAATTCTCATGAGAAAAACACTGAGACATCAGACAATCTCATTTTCCATTCAAATGACTAGTCTCTTATTTTGAACCTGCTCTGGGGCCAGTTAGGTCTGCAGCATTTGTTACCATTATGAATGCAGCCTGTTAAGAAATGAGCACCTTCCTAATTCTAAAATAAATAAATAAATAAATAAATAAATTTTAACCCTGGGTTAAATCTGAAATTCCATCGCTAAACCCAAGATCCTGCAGATCTGTAGCACATGCCTATTGAGAAAGACGTGAAATAATCCCTATAAGATTCTGGTTGCAGTGTTCGAGACACTGATCCACAGTCTTTGCAAAATCTTATAGTCTATAACTAAAAACTGTGGCTTACGCAGCGCTGTCTTTAGATGTGAGAGACTGCCAGATCTTAACCTTTTGTGCTCTTTTTAAGGTACAGAAGCTTAACTGTGCAGCAGGTTCAGCAGTTATAATGCAATGTCCACAATATGTTGGACATATTTCAGATGTACAGTGTTTAGAAGCCGCCGTGGTAAAAATTGAAGGATTCAGGGTTCAGACGATGGTAAACAGCCTGGCTGTTGCTGACGGCATCTTTATGTTGCATCGAGCTATTAACGTATCAGTGCTGAGAGCACGTTGGTGCTTTTCATCTAATGCAACCCAAGAATTTCTCAAACAAGTTTGACAGGAATTCACCTTAAATCACAACAGCTGGATCTTAATTTGAACCGAGGTGGAGACACATGCGTAGGAGGCTGTTTGTTTCCATCTAGAAAAATAGTTTGTGTGCAATCAGAAGCGATTATTCTTCAGACGAACACACACACGCACGCACAAACACAAAGAAGCTCTCTCTGAGTGCAGAAGCTATTAGTAATCAGAGGCATGTTTGCTGCAGCCTCACTTAAGACACTCCCGGTCTTTTAGTACAGAAATGATTTTTTTAACAAGCTGCAGAAACTGAAAACACAACTGGAAAAAAAAAAGCAGCTTCTGCTTGCAAAGACTCACACAGTCCTTTCATCTCTTCACATCAGTGTGAGTATTGGAGAGCTGTTCCTAACAGGAGGTTTTAAGGTGCAGATCAGAGGAGGAAGCTTTTAGAGGCTTTTTAATTGCTGTAAATGGCATGAATTTAAATTATAATCATAGCTTTGTACCTTGCACTTCTGTAGGTTGCCACCAGTTTGAGCTTTCCCTTCCATCAAAGCTTCAACATCAGCTGCTCGATCACATTTAATCCCTGATTTTTGGATGCAACCTAGTGTTTTCCTCAGTGTGAAGATCAAAGATCAACACACACCCTCCTCGACCAACTCCTGCCATGCATCTTCGAGTCAACAACCCCTCTCAACTGGGTTTTACCTGCTCCTCTGGCTCCCTGCCTGCGTCCTCCAGCAGCTCGACCTGGTTGTTTAGTGATAGCCTGTAGAGATGAAGGTCTGCTGGGGGTTTCAAACACGCCGTGTCCTGCTTCCCCTTCTGTTTTGCGTCCATGTAATTAGAGCGTGCTGCTGTATGCGTAGCCAAGAGCCCGCTGAGAAATATGAAATGGATAACCTGGGTTCCGGGAAACGAGCCAGCGCTGCCAGTAAAAATCACCCACACCATCATCATCAAGCCCTGCCTTTACTGGGCTGTGATGTCATCCCTGTATCCGCCCTCTTACACAACGGTCATCACAGGGAGAGCCTTCTCTCTTCCACTTTG